TGTGATGTTTTAATTAAACCTCTTTTTGGAACATGTGCGCTTAACGTCTATCCCGGTAGCATTCATTATTAATTTCTATTTCACCTGCATTCTAGGCAGTTTATCTGGCCAATGTACAGGTTTTCAACATTCTTGCGCGCGTGACAAAGAAGGAAAGAGCATAAGTCATTCGCGTTTCAGTTTAAACGGAGGAGTCAAAATTTTTTTAAGTTGAGTTCAAGTGTATGATCTAGTGCCCTATCCATCGATCAACCTCTCTGAAGGTCATTTTGCATTTTAGCAATTTTACTCCCTTTCATCTAGCTAGGAAGAGTCTTAGTCCTAAGTTTTAGGAAAATCTTCAGCTACGAGAATAGACTTTATGTGGATAAGCGTTAATACAATTGATTAAATGGTCAAGAGTTCGCGTTACTTAAGTTTTTCTTAAATTTTTTTTCTCTTTCAGATTCCTTTAGAAAGTGCTCTCATATGGAGATACAAAGTCAAGCGTTGCAACTGAGAAACGCGTGTTGGCGAACACGCGTTCACAACTTCATCACGACAATATAGAATTCCGAAATAGATTATAAGTTGGTAGGAAGATGGTTGTAAGCAAGAAAGATATAAAAATACATCTACGAAGTGATTTTAAGAATATTGTTGGGAGCCTTTGAAGCAAATATTCTTGGGATACTCGTCTCTGCCACTTGTATTTTCTTTCACGTTTACCGATGAAAGAAGTACAAGTGGTAGGGAGGGGGTATCACCAATTTGCAGTTGCCAATTTGTTGGAACCCTATCCAAATATTATAAAACCTTAAAGGCGTTAAGTCACTCTCCGTATGATTCTCTCTGTATGTAAGGCCACAATTGCGCGATGAGGAAATTTGGAAATTTTATTTCTAAATCTCATTCCGATAAGACATAGAATATATGGTCTTTTATATTTTGCTCCTGTAACTGCATAATTAAGGCTAAATCTTTCTTCAGTCCGTATCGCTGCAGAGACAAGCTTAAGAGACATCAAGAAATGGTTAGATATTCTAGTCTTCTCGGATAGGGACGAATAAATGGAGGTCCCGTCTCCTGCAGGGTTGGGGTATGAGACGTTAATTTCCCACACACGAGATTACTGTGTGATGGATGTCCTCGCCTGGGGTGGGATGGGTGGGTGTTTTAGAGGGCCACTAGGGTGAATACTTTTCAAAATAATTGGTGTCACCCTCTTAAAGTAAAGGTTATTATTATTAAATTCAAGTCTGTCCGTTGTCTAGTTCCAGCCTTAGACTAATTGCACCTGAAAATGTTCTAGACGGGAATGATGCCATTATAGAAATACTAACGGTTTAATCAATGACCTGTTTATACAAAAGAACTGAAATTTTCTTAAGATTTTCACAATTTTGGTCGCTAGTTTCCTGCCTAACTGGTAGCCTTTCCTAAAAATAGAAGTGTGGAAAGAATATGGCTTTTGAAACCCGGTAAGATTAATAAAACCTTCAGTCCAAAAGTTGGCTTATTATCCGTGAAGGAAATCTATCACTTGAATGGTTAGTTGAGACTTAAAGCTGAGAACAAATTGTTGTTTTGTTTTTATCACATAAGAAGCTGCAATCATGTTTACAGAAATCGAGTCCGTAATTTTAGCACTACTTGTGAAGCTTGTTAATACTTACTTAAGCATACCTGATAATTGATAATTCTAGGTGTCGTGTGATGCTTAAGTTCTCTTGCTTAACCCCCAAGAGTGACTAAAAGCTAATTTCTCCTTACGTTATCACCCCTAAATCAAACATCTAGTTAATGAGAATAAAGGAAATCATCACCAGCTGGAGAAGCTCTCGATTGTTAAACAAATTCTCCTCGTCAGTACCATAGGAAATGTATAGAGAACAGTATGGAGAATATGCATACTGATGTTAGGGTGTAAAGGGTAAGGCGAAAGGGTGAAAAGTTCATTTAGATCTAATCAAAAAGTGATGCGTGTTTTTGACGTAACGTGGAACGTGATCTCTTTCTACGTACTACAGCAGTTTTTTTTTTTTCTGTGAGGTTATGCAAAGTATTTTACCAATGTCTTTAAGTGATGCATTGAAGTGACCCGATCAATAAAATATCTGATGCTTTTCTCCCTGGAAAGTTTGTTACTTAAGTCTTTTAAATTCATAAACTCACCCAGTACGTTCATCTAGTAAAAATGGCTCTACATCTGTTATACAAACATAAAATTGAGTAGTACGCTAAAATTAAAAAATTATTCACTATAGATACTATTTGGTTGGTAACTCTAGTCTATCTTGTCCTGACTTTTAAAATGGGTTGAACCGCAGCGAAGAGTGACCCTTTTGCCGTGAAAAAGCTTGAAAAGTTTGAAAGCGTTCACAAGAAGAGTGTTGTCACTCCAGAGCAACTCCAAGTGTTACCAATTGCCACATGAATAGCCCCCTAACAGGCCTTGATCCTTCCGTCATGCTGAAGATGCCACTTTTTTTGGCATGTTTTCAGGTTTTTTTCGTTGGTAGGGAGACTGACGCGGGTCATTCTCCTTCTAAACCACGCACTAATGCATAACGACAACCCGACATTTTGTAGCATTTCATTCAGTGATTTAACCCGATCTATTTCGAAGAGGCCTTTACATAAACTCGGATTTCCAAAGATTACTAAGGTCGATACGCGCAAGACCGGGTTTGCTCATTGAGATTTCTTCGTTCGTTCTGAAACCGAACAGCAGCTGGATCGAACCGGACTTAGGCTTGATCGAACAACTACTTGCAGTTGCTGACTTTTATGTCCAAGAAGATGTCATTATAATCAGGGTACAATAGCCTGTATCCTTCAAAGATATGAGTGTCTAAACGGTAACATGATAAACATACTCTGCTCACGGTGCTCTCCGGAATATTGAAATTTTTTTCGGAGGAAGTGTGACCAGCACAAACATAAGTACGGTTTACATCATGGTACTGACGACTTCATTTTCTTTATATTTGGTGGAGAAGACCCAACGTCTCTACAATTATGTGCCATTTATTAAAAACTGGATCATTGGATAATACAATTCAAGACTTTTTATTGGCTTAGCCATTATGGTATATGAGTTAATATACCATAATCTAATATCCGGTACATTGTAACATCCGGTTTCTTCTCTCAAAATAAAGTCGAGAAGATTTTTCTAATATCTTAAGGGCGATTTTTTAATAAAACAATTATTCCACTCGGGCTTGTTGGATAGGAGATGATTATAGCCAACTCGGCGCTACGCGCCTCGTTGGCTATCTGTCATCTATCCAACGCGCGCTCGTGGAATAATTGTTAATTAGTATAATTTCAGAGCTGAGCAAAGAGTTTCCAGCAATCTGATTGGTCGAGCGGTTCCTTATATGACGCTATATAAACCGCTCCGCGCGGTTTCTATAAAATGTTAAACTAAAATGTTATAAAATGTTACTAAAATGTTATGATTTTAGAGATTTCTCTGTTGTTCAGCTCTGAAATTATCCCAAAACAATTATTCGCCTCAGGTTCGATGAAAATTCTCGAATAATCCCCTCGACTTCGTCTCGGGGATTATTCGACGATATTCACCTCGCCTTCGGCGAATAATTGTTGAATATTAATCCTTGCGCGCGTATATTCTTTTAGAGAAGAGTGGCATGTTGATGAACTACGGACGCCCGCTTAAATCGTTCGCGCGTCACTGCTTGCGTCTTTTCTACTTACCCATGGTTAACACCGGATAAACGGATGAACGGATGAAGTTGAGTAAGCGATACTATACAATAGATTGTGCGACGTGGTATCAGAGAAATGTTGAAAAAGGAGCATAGGAGACGAGAGTGGCGGTGTAGTTTATATGAAGTTGGGGCCGTACCGAGTCATGAATGTTTGAGTATGCCTTGGAACGAGATTGGTGCAAGCAGGGGGGTGGGGACCTTCCTCGATGAGCTCCTTCATTTCTCTCTATTTGGAGAGAGCATCTCCGTCCATTAGCCGTTCACTACCCTCGTCCCTAATGTTCCCGTCATCCATCATGCATTACGGTCACATCGAAAAAGGACCGTTCAGTTCAGAATCTCTTACATATTAGCTTGTTTGTATAACTTACGACAGAAAAAATTGTCTTCAGGGATTTCATTCCGCCTCAATGTAATAATCGCCACCTAAAACTGATTGACTGTTGTTCAACATAACGGTCCTGAACCTAGTATTTCTGACGTTATTGGTTCTAAAGAGTTTAAAATGTAGTGAGGTTAGCAACTCGGTTGATCGTTTAACGTGAGGTACCAAGACTTTGGACTCTTCTCTTTTTATTCTTCTCTCGAGAGCTACTACAGCTTCGACGAAGGGCTAACGCTCGAAACGTCAGCTTTTGTAATCGTTACGGCGGCCAATTTACCATTTCAACTTTGTTGATATATCCAAATTATTTCGTTACTCCCACCTACGCAGCCCCAAACAGTTTCTTTCGAAACTATCAGCCCCTACTACAGTTTCGACTACCACAATGCTTCAGACCGTTTTTTCTCAAGTTAGCGAGGAGTGCCCACGTATTAAATACAAAAATCAGAAATGTTTGGGTTAGCTGACCATGGGAGTTTCCATAGTGTATCCGTTCTTTTTACAAAGGGGGAAATTGGGTGGCCCGCTCCGAAGTACTTGGCGAGCACCAAGGAACCAATTAAACGCTATCCATCATCAAGCTGCGCACGAGAATCGCGCGCACAAACAGGATCTTCAGTGTGGGCAAAAACCCAAGGTCAGCTTTACCAACACAAACACGACCACCTATGAAACTAATTATTCTCAACCACAACAAGCGATTAAAATGTCTAACACGGTAATAAGGAAATCCGCGAACTGAGCCTAGTTCAAGTACACACTTGAACTTTGAATAAAAGAATCAAAACTATAAAACTACGAAAATAACACGTAGGCACAAGAGGCGAGACTTTACAAAAAAAAAGGACTCAAAATACCTCACTACAAAAAGATTATCATACACAGCACTCGTTGATCAACTTATGTGATAATTCTTTATTTAACAACAAAACAAAGTTAGTTCACTTCACATTCGTTAGGGAGCTTATCAAATTAAGTAATTTCAGTCTGGTTCATAGAAGAATCTCGAAGCCTTACATCAACAATATATTAAAAAATTTTTTGATTCCTTGTTAAATTTCTTAATATGCAAAATCTAGACCAGACACATTTGTACATCTTGACCTGTACAAAGACAAAGTAATTTGGAGTATTTACAACGCAATTGCCATGAGCTCTAACACTAGCTAAACGTAACATAACTGTTGCAATAAAGTTCCCAGCTAGTGAAGATAACAATAAGTTATAAAAGATATAGTAATATTGACAAAAGTGTGAAGTTACCTGTAAACAATTCAAATGATATAAAGCTCCTGTCATAATTTGAACGAAATCATTCCAAAAACGCACCACAATAGGAGACATTCAAGACTCTTAAACAACTTACTTGACCATGATTGGTTTAGGATTATCGATGGCGAGAAGGTAAATTTGTGGTCTCCATACCTAATACCAAACTTGACAAATCTTTTTAAAGAATTTCTTAATCTTGTGATGTATTCACAAAAAAGTAACTGATTAAAAGCAGAATTAGGAGGGCTTGGAGTAGAGAAGCATAAGAAGTGTTCTGACCCCAACAGTCCATTCCAATTTTGCCTTGAGCCCCATGTTCCCTGATCTCTAAACTAAACAGTGTTTACTTTTTGCTTTTAAAATCTTTCTGTTGTTGTGTTTGATCATTGAACTACCACTTCACAATGACTAAACCATATTGACTAAACTGTATCCACTGTGCACACAAACCTAGTCTTAGTCAATGCATGGTGCATCAAGTTTTTATAACTCGCTTCCATGCCAGGAGTAGTTTTGTCCTCTCACTTAAAGCAAATAATCCAAAATGGCTTTGCAGCGATGATGTACATAAAATGACCATATAAGTACCTAACTCAAACACCCGCTAACTTGAACCAATTTTTGTTTGGCTCGAGAGTTTCAGTTAGCAAGGTTCTTCTGCAGTTGTGATGGTAAATGACTAAAACAATGGGATCAAGGGGAATCAGATTTTGTTCAAGTTACCTGGGGCTTCAAGTTATCTTAGTTAACACGTTCGCAGGGTTCTATTGTAATCAATAGATAACAAGCCTAAACTAGAAAATCACCTAACACCATTCTACCCTTCGATACCCTCTTTCAAGAATACCCTATTTCTAAAGTGATTCAATTTTCTCATGTCATTGTGCTATATATAATGAGTGGGTAATATCTGCACTTATAATATTTACAGCCACCTTACATGTGGATATTTCTTTGGTAAACCAAAATAATTAGTTTTCTTAGCCAATAAATTACTTTATATAATTAAAATAATTGCAATAATAAATATATCTTCTGCCATAGAATAGATTTTGTGTGTTCTATAGTCTCAATGAAAGTGACTTGCAATAATATACAAAATTAAACATAATATACTTTTAAAAGTTCTTCAAGTGTCATTTCATTGCATTTAAGATATCAAAAATCTATCTTTCGATTTTCACAAGTGAACATTATTGATTGAAGCAATCTTCTGTTCAACAAAATCAGAGAAGATATCGAATGCTTTGAAAAATATGAATTCCTGTCCCACCACAAAAATCCCTGCATATAGTTTAATAAAAAGGTTAGGCTGCAACCTAAAAAGACATTCATTAGAGTTAGCAATGCAGTATGACATATTCAGACTCATAAATGTGTATCATGCACTCTGCAAAAAGGACTCCTCATTTTGAAACTTCAGTCCGAAGCATTCTTGTTAATGCTGTTTGAATTCTTCCAGGCTGTTTGCTTTTATGACCAGCTTACCAAATACGAGACATTTCTCTCAATTCTATTCTCAAAGACAGAAACAAAGAAACTGCTATCCTGAGGAACCCAATGAATCCCAAAAGGCATTTTGATTTGCCAGTCTCTGATTTATGAGGTCCAGAGCACCAGAAAACACAAATCCCCACTTTTGAAAAGCAATGCTGTACCTCACTGACATTCTGGACACAGTATTGAGTTCAGAAAACTTTAAGTTTTCATACTTTACCATTGCTTTGTTCTTCAATCCACCAGAGTTTCTAAGCTGAGGCCTTGCTTTTTTCCCTTTCCTAGTTGAGGAGTGTTGAACTTTGCGTCTAGCTTTACGTTTCTTTACTTTTGGTGTAGCTAGAATGGCACTTGTGATGGAAGCATTAACAAGAGATTTTTCAGAATAGTCATTTGCCACTCTGCGCCCAGAATTCGTCAACCTTCCTCTCGCTGGAAGAGTAAACCCTCCTCCTCTACAAGGTTTCAATTTTTTTCTAATGTCCTCCACCTTGACAAGAAGATTTCCACATGGATTTGAAGACTCTCTCCTAAACACAGTTCCATCAGAAAGTGACCTCATTTTCTTGTTTGGAGAAACAAGTTCATCATGGAGAGGCTTTACTTCAGGAGAGAGAAGTCTAGGTTTTGAGTCTCTAGGTTTTTGGCTTTTTCCTGACAATTTTTTTTCATTTTGGGCATTGATTTTATGTGGAAAATTGTTGCAAATAATTGATTCATTTCCATCTGAAACTGGACTTGATGGGGGAGAATAACTGCTGAGGTCAAGTGATAAGTGTTCACAGCTACTCATGGCATTGTTGTTGGATGAAACAACACTTGAAGGAAAAATACTTTCACCTGAATGTTGTTCAGAGTCACTTTGCCTAGATACAATTGATGTCACAGACATTTCCTCATAAGAAATATCTTTTTGTTTCTAATGTAAAAAAGACAAAAAGAGATCAAATGAACATTAACTTTTTAATCCCTGAAACTGACTAGCATCTAATTTCCTTTAAGTTTCACCCACATCAAGGTCTTGAAAATGAAGGAAACCATCATCACATCAAAAGCACTTGATTGTTAAACAAATCCTTTTTAAGTAACACAGGAATTGTATACAGAACAGTATGTATTTGTATTTTATAGATTCTTACAGTGTACAGGTAAGAGAACAGTAGGACACATAGTCCCTTACTAGGTTCATCCATCTAAACAAACCCCAACCCACCCCAGGGGAGGACATCCATCACACAGTAATCTCGTGTGTGGGAAATTAATGTCTCCTACCCCAACCCTGCAGGAGACGGGACCTCCATTTATTTGTCCCTATCCGAGAAAACTAGAATATCTAACCATTTCTTGATATTATAGAAAGGTAGCATATTCTTCTCAATTAATTTAAGACCTTGAGTGTTGGTCCGGTCGGGGCTCAAACCCTCAACCTCCCGCACAATAGTCCAGCGCTCTATCCAAGTAGAATATATGCACACTGACATTAAGGTGTAAAGGGTTGAAAGATTAAAATTCCAGGGATGTGATTTCCTTACCATACATCTCTACTTTTTCACTACACACACACTATTTTTATCCAAGACAAACAAATGCAGAGAAAGGGATAAAAATGGGCGTGGGGGTTGCCATTGTGCTTGCATCACTAGAACATTAAGCAGTGCCAAAGAACCGAAAAACTCAGTCCATTGACAAATCAGATGAAAATTACATGATACTCACCAAATTACTTCTCAAAAAATAGGAAAAGTTACCAGCATTTGCCCTATCTGACCCTGAAGATAGAGAATCATCCATCAGATCTGACATTGTTTCACTGCAATCAAGATGAAGGGGAGTACCATTACATCCTGATCTGTCGCATTTTATAGGTGTGAGGTGTAATGAGGCTACAACTTTTTTACCATGAGAAGTATGTGCTAATTCACATGAGGATGATGAAACCACAGAATTTCTTCTCACAGTCACTAAAGACTTTGAATGATCAGCTTCCATGTCACAATGATTCACTTCTGACAAAAAGGGAAAGTCCATGGGAGATGTTTGGCTTGCAGTGTCAGAAACTATACCATCATTAGTTAGAATATTTTTGGCAGGCATGCCTAGTCCATTTGTGTAGTCATTTGATGTAACTGAGGTGACAGCAGTATCAGCATGGTAATGCTCCCCAAGGAAGGGACTCTCAGATGTCCAGTGAGAATTTCTAGCTTTGTTGACACTTTTCCTCACATAGTCTGTATATTGCTTCAATGCATTTGAGGGAAATTCCTTTGGTGACATTGGCACTAGGCATACATGGGCAATCAAACTTTTCTTTTGATTCATCATTCATATCATTTCAATAGAGCTGTATTAAACAAACAGAAAGGCTTAATGTAAGTAGCAATCATAAACACCCTGAGAGGTGTTACTCTCTTTCAGTGAAATTTATCAAACAGAGGGCATTCATTTGAGAGGCCGGGCATCTGATGCAAACTTTGCAGCATAGAGGGCGTTTACTAGAAAAGAGGCATCTATTTGAGAGGGAGCATCTACTAGATCATTTACAACATCTAAATTTTTCAAGGATATGGGCTTTTGTTAAAATATAGCCAAGCAATAGAACAGCACACTACTGGTCTCTCCTCCCAGTGTGATAGTCTACATATTTTAGTCCCACAAATATCCTATTTCGCTGGAATGTCAAGTAAACAGGTACACTAACAATATGCTCGGTATTCCAGCTTTGATAATTGCGAGGTGTACAACAGCTCAATATGTAGGCCACACGCTTGTGGGAGGTTCAAGGCCATGTGGGTTGCCTTCAGCTATTTTCTTCTGCATTCTTTGCAGTTCGACTCGGAAAGCTGTTGAGATCGCGTTGGTGCACGTAAAACACGATTTTTTTTAAACAATGATCTCTATGTAACACCATTTGAGGCATGTTTTCAAGCATAGCTAGAACAGCACCTGTTACCCACAAAAATGCTCTGTGAACGGGTCGCCATCCGGTAGTTACTCATTGACTTGCGGCGTCCCTCAAGGGACCATCCTCGGTCCATTATTGTTCTTATCATATAACAACGATCTTCCAAATTGCTTATCAAATTGTAACCGAGAATGTATACCGATGACACACACCTCACATATGCAGGAAGCAATCTTGAGTACGTTCAGTTTTGTCTAAATGAAGACCTAGAAAACGTCTTCATATGGCTACAAGCGAACAAACTCACGTTGAACATGACTAAAACCGAATTCATGCTAATAGGGTC